TAGAACCCTCAGACAGCCCGTGGGCCTCACCCGTAGTACTGGTACCCAAAAAGGATGGGACCACCAGGTTCTGCGTCGACTATAGACGTCTCAATGATAGGACAGTGACAGATGCGTACCCCATGCCACGCGTAGACGAGCTCCTAGATCGCATTGCTAGGGGAAGATATCTGACCACCATTGATTTGTGCAAGGGATACTGGCAGATTCCCCTAGCCAAGGAGGCTGTCCCCAAGTCGGCCTTCATCACCCCGTTTGGCTTGTACCAATTCAAAGTCATGCCATTCGGGATGAAGAATGCTCCCGCTACCTTTCAGCGCTTGGTCGACAGGCTCCTTGATGGCTTCCAGGATTTCGCATGTGCGTACCTGGATGACATTGCGATCTACAGCGAGACCTGGGGAGAACACCTACGACAGGTAGGGGCCGTACTGGATCAGATTAGGGCCACAGGGCTCACTCTGAAGCCAGAAAAATGTCATTTTGGCATGGCCGAAGTACAGTACCTGGGACACCGGGTGGGATGTGGGAAGCAACGGCCGGAGCCAGCCAAAGTTGAGGCCGTGGCTAATTGGCCCACACCCCACACCAAGACCTAGGTACTGGCTTTTCTAGGGACAGCAGGGTACTACAGGAAATTTGTCCCCGACTATAGTAGTATCGCCAAACCGTTAACAGACTTGACCAAGAAGAATCTACCTAGGATAGTCCTGTGGTCTCCCGCCTGCGAAGCAGCATTTCAGACATTAAAGACCGCATTAATCAACGCTCCTGTGCTATCTGCCCCAGTCCCTAACAAAAGGTTTGTCGTCCACACAGATGCCTCCATGTACGGACTGGGGGCAGTTTTAAGCCAGATCGGAGAGGATGGAGGAGAACACCCTGTCGCATACCTAAGCAGAAAACTACTACCCAGGGAAGTGAGCTACGCGGCAGTGGAAAAAGAATGTTTAGCCCTGGTTTGGGCCCTAAAGAAATTGACTCCATATTTGTATGGTCAGGAGTTCACCCTCATCACTGACCATATCCCTCTCGTATGGTTGAACAGCGTGGCCGGAGATAATGGTCGTGGGAACACAGATGGCCTGTCCAGACAAACCGAACTGATGCCATAACCGAAATCCGGACAGCCCCATGGTGATCCGAAAAGGATGAATCCGGGTCTGCCCGGGTGTCCCACAAAAGGGGAGCCATGTAACAACAAGCCCAGTATGCCTACAAAAGGACAAATGGATTATACAGCCGTTCGGTATTTTTGTATGCATTCACCATGCGAATGCTTACCTGCCTTAACAGGCCACCCTGACTGTTAATAATGGCCAATTTACCTCCCTGGTTGATGGGCATTGTATTCGAATGAACCGCACGAACGCTATGGGAACTGTAAGCTCAGCCGCCATTTCGGGACTTACACGTGTTCGCGGCCATTTTAACTCCCGGTGTTTGCCAATGATTGTCTGGAACTAAAATCGGACACTCAAACAGGCGAACACCGCTGAGACCTCCATACGTTCGGGAAAATATCACCAAATCTACCGAACGACCGGGCGTTCGGTAGAAAGGATTAACAGCAGATGGGGATTTCAGCGAACCCAGGATGGCATACGGATGGCCGGCCGTTCGGGAGTTTTTACCCAAGTTCTTAGACCGACTGCAGGGCCAGCATTCATGGAACTGTTTTCGGCTACTGTACCCGTGCAGTCGGTCAAATCTTCTAAGTCCCATATCTCCCGAACAGCTGAACCGATTGAGTTGATTTTTTCATATGTTGGTACCTGAACTATGGGCTATCTGGGGATACCAAGTATTTGGGGTACATCCAAACTTTGGGGAAAAACTGTTCCATTTTAATTATGTTATGTGGTTATCTGAGGGGAGGGAATTTACCAAATGTATATTGCATGGATTGGTTACTCTGCTAATTATGTGGGTGTCTCCCTTGCATGGGCAGAATATCATAAAAGCAGAGTGTGTGTCATTAAACCTCAGTTCTTCTTGACCCTTCAAAACGTAGCCTTGTCTCGTTCTTGAAAGGGGAATCTCTGCAGCTTAATCACTTAGCTCTTTTCAGAGCTGCACCTGGTTTCCACTCCTGATCCAGCAGAAGGGAATAGGCGACTCCATCACTACACAGCGACTGCCAGGAAGAAAAGGACGTCCCTAACGGCTGGTACCCTCTCTACACCAGGGTAGTCGTTACAGTAGTATTGCACCAATATGAAAGGCAGGATTCAGGATATAGCCAAAAATGAGATCTGCTTTATTTACTATACCAAATGTAGAAAATATATACTATAAAACAAAACAATATTTGGTTCTATGCGTTTCGTCCCATTGATTAGATATCCTCAGGGACCTAAATGAAATAGCATAATGAAATACAAGAAACAGCAGTAAAAACACTCCTACAGCAGCACTCCTACAGCAGGAAAAAGCAGCATAAAACCCTTCCCCAGATTCCTTCCTTATATGTGGCCAGTATTTAATCATAATGGTGGTCCAGTGGGTGTTCCAGGTCATCATAAGTTGATCAACAGCTGTTCAACATCATCATAAGTTGAGATGAAATAGTCTGGGTGCCTATAGTGTCCCTTTATTTAATCACTTGATATTCCTTCTTACAAATTTGCAGAGTTATTCACTAAACACCTAATTTTAGCCTTAATCATTTGGATTTAATTTGTTTAAAAAAAATAAATCGGTGTTAAATACATAACAAAATAATTTGAATTCATGCTGCGTCCATCAATAAGTGTAACTGATAAGACATGATATGGTAGGGCTCAGTTGCTCACTAAAAGTTGTGGTATACTGTGTCTGCTAAAGTTATCTTATGTCTGTTTTCTTTTGCAATGGTGGTATATCTAACAAAGGTGTTCCCTTTTAGGAAAAAATAAATAAATCTAAGAAGTCAAGAAAAATGATGTCACAAAATCATGGAGAAATTCATACCTTATTTATGATATTTCCATTTGTCCTAGCTGTAATTTCGGAAAACAAAAGACATACTGATCTTTACAAAAAGTACCTGTTACTTTACATGACTCTATACCAGGACACATCAATGTAAGCTTTTTAAAATGCATACCTCCCAACTGTCCCTATTTAGGAGAGATAGTCCCTATTTTGGGCCCAAGTCCCTCTCTCCTTCTTTTCTCTATTAATGTGCCTTTTTTTCTTGGAACTCCATTTTATATTATATATGTCTGAGTGTGTAACAGAGCTCCACAGTAATAATACTCACATTAATTTGCCTTTAAACTACAATAAATGTGTTTGGAAATCAGTCTGTTAAAGTAGAATGTATTGTAATTGTTCTAAATTACATTTTAGTTCCATAAACTATTATTAGTAAGTCACCTAAAATCCGGGCCCCTGGCCCACCTCCAGTCACACCCCTGAAACTAAAGTGCCCCTCTATTTCATGTTAATGCCGGCGGGTTTCAGAAGCTCCACGCTGTCTGACAAGATGGCGCTGATCTCCCCTGATATCGGGACCCTCCACAGTATCAGGGCGGAGCTGGCCAGAATTGGAGGCAACATGCTCACCAAAGCAGACTCCAGCGCCCTGGCCCAGGAGATCCAAGCGGTGGTCTGCAAGGATCTGGTGGGCCTACGCATTGACCTCCTGGCACTGGGGGCCCGAGTGAATGCTGTTGAAATGGAGGCAAGGCTGTGCTGTCAACAACATCGTGCAGCTGAAACCACCGCTACCAGACAAGGGAACATGTTACTGTCCCTAAAGCATCAGGTCGAAGACCTGGAGAAAAGAAGCAGACTGCAAAATATTAGTGTCAGGGGACTCCCTGAACCAGACTCCGAGCCTTTGTCCACCACTCTGATCTTACTGTTCCGTCCAGAGGCGCCACAGGACATACACCTGGATAGAGCCTACTGGGCACTGCAGCAAGCCAGACCGGATGTTAGGCCACGTGATCTGACCTGCTGCCTTCATGCCTTCCCAATTAAAGAACAGATCATGGTGGCTGCCAGGAACTTACCCTCCATCCAGTTCCGGGGCGCAGAACTGTTGCTCTTTCAGGACCTCTCGGGCCTTACCTTAGACGCCAGATGGGCCCTCAGGCCGATTACCACAGCTCTCTCCGGGGCAAGGGTATACCCTACAAATGGGGTATTCCTTTTGGCCTGCAGGCCAGACAGCGCACTACCTGGCACATAATCAAACTCCCGGACGATGTTCCTCGCTTTCTTCGGGCACTCCACCTCCCGCATGAGGACCTGCAACTGGCTGTTGGAGGAACCGACTGGGCACCGGCAAGGGGAAGACTTAGGCCCACAACCCTCCACCAGCCGGCCTGGCCCACGCTAACCCTATTGGGAATGAACAGCTCCTAAGGAATGGTTCCTTTTTACATTTTCAGAGGCTGAATGATGGCTGTGGGGCTAAGATGGATGGGGAACCAGGATTCAGGTTGGGAGGGGGGTTCTCCATGCGTACACCGGCTTGCACTCTATGCTAAAATGTTGCCCTACTGGCTCCCGTTGAGGTGAGTATCACATGGGCCCTAGTAGGGGGGTGAGAATAGGGTGAGGGGTCACATCATAGAGGGTGGGGGTTGTGGAATGGTGGAACTACCTATAGAATGGCCATTTGTTATTGAGGAACCAGGTCATACCCATCGCAGGTTTGGGTCTGGGCGTACACCCGGAGTGTGGCTGTATCATGGGAAGTGGGGGGGGGTCCATATGCACTGGACCAAGGCTGATGCACCTTCGACTATGTGTTTTAAATTAATACATCTCATACAAGCCTGATGATCACGCTAGAGAATTAGTGTCCGGGTCCCTAGCCAAACAATGCAATACAGTACACGATAGCCTCACCCAGTCTACCATCTACTGTGGACACAAGTCTGAGCGCACCGATAGGGCAGGTATCATACTCGCCCCAGGATTGTGGTAACAGTAGTGAGGGGACCAGGAGTTGCGTAACGCTACATGGGGTCTGCGTGTTTAGTAGGCACACAGTGGTACCGAGTGACTGGGGGTGGTACGGGAGGTGGGATGGAGGAGTCTCCTCCTCCATCCCACCTCCCGTACCACCTCCAGTCACCAATGCTAATTAACTGATTAGGAGCCCGATCACAATTGATATGTTCCCGAGTATATGCCCCTATATGCATTCGTTATATTCCTTCTCTATGCCTGATGGTTATACTAGTGACCATAACCCTGACCTCACCCCGTGCAGTGACTCGCATTGGCTCTCCCCCACAGTCCACCTTGAAAGCGAGATCGTATATACAGTTATTGTGGGTGACCAGACCTGGCCTGTGACCCTGATCATGACCCGTCAGAGTACAGCAAGCATGTTCCTGCCATTTGGGGGGTTCCCAGGGGGATGACATGACATGGGGTGAGCCCAGGCTCTAACTTTCACTAAGTTTTGGTTTTTCTTGTTTTACACCCTGTTCCAAATTATTACGCAAATTCTATTTAAGTGTCACAAAGATTAAATATTTTGTTTTTCAGTTTAACTCATGGATGGCATTGTGTCTTAGTGCTCTTTTGATCGCTGAAAAAATCTCGGACACCTGTGATAATTAGATTGCCAGGTGAGCCCAATTTAAGGAAAAACTACTGTAGCGGAGCAGCAATATTAAATCCCATGATCTCCGCTGGTTCAGAAGGTAATCCACAGTCAAGCGCTGAAAAGTAAGGCAATATCCCAAATCTCCCAGTAACCGGACAAAACACAGTTCTGAGAGTCAACTGAGGCTTTATTCACAGGTTCCACAATTTATACAATTCCCCATGCAAGGGGTTTCCTGAGTCCTATCCCAGGGGTATTCTAGGAGTGGACTACGTGGGGAACTTACAGTACAGAGCATTTCTCCCATCAGGCACTGCTGCACGAGAGGGATCCTACCACTGGAATGTACCGTTAAGTGGATTATCCCTCCGTGCAGCAGAACCGGCAATTTGTATTAAAACACACAACTTTTCGAATATTAGGTTGATTTGCACGAATGGACGCTCGGTAGATAGCTGGGGTCTGAGCGCATCATTCGTGAGATTACCGCTCAGATCCCAGCTAAAACAACCGAATGCCGCACGAAAAACATATTCACCAAAACATGCATTCAAAAGACCGATTGGTATATGGAGAATAAAATACCGATTGTTGCAATCGGTTAACAAGCGCCACACGTCTCTTAATGTGTGGGCTATTACAGGGTGGTTTATTCGGTTCACGAACGGCCCGCAAAGGTGCCGTTCGTGAAACGAAATGGAATACAGCTATCTGCTTTCGGCAGATAGCCAATACAGGCAATACAATGTTATACAGCCAGCATACATTACACCCAGGGACATACATATCACCACAACCATACAGGCAACCCTTAAAGGCACAGTCTCTGTATATTGTCCAAGTGGCTAGGTTTGCCACAACTACTAAAGGAGGGTGTTCCACATTATTAAGCAGAGCACCATTTTCATGCAATACGGGGAAGAAAAAGGATTTCTCTACTGCTGAAAAGAGTGAAATACTTCAATGCCTTGGACGAGGTATGAAAACATTAGATATTTCACGAAAACTTAAACGTGGTCATCACACTATTAAGAGATTTGTGGCTGATTCAGAGGACAGACAGGTTTGTGCAGATAAAGGCACATTGAGGAAGATTTCTGCCAGATCCATGCATCGGATCAAGAGAGCAGCTGCTAAAATACCATTACATAGCAGCAAACAGATATTTGAAGCTGCTGGTGCCTCTGGAGTCCCACGGACATCAAGGTGTAGAGTCCTCCAGAGTCTTGCAACTGTGCATAAAGCTTCTATTCGGCCACCACTAACCAATGCTCACAAGCAGAAACGGCTACATTGGGCATAAAAATACATGAAGACTAATTTTCAAACAGTCCTGTTCACTGAGTGCCGTGCAACCCTGGATGGTCCAGATAGATGGAGTGGTGGATGGTTGGTGGACGGCCACCCTGTTCCAACAAGGCTGCGACGTCAGCAAGGCGGTGGTGGAGTCATGATTTGGGCCGGAATCATGGGAAGAGAGCTTGTCGGACCCTTTAGGGTCCCTGAACGTGTAAAGATGACCTCTGCAAAGTATGTGGAGTTTCTGACTGACCACTTTCTTCCCTGGTACAGAAGGAAGAACTATGCATTCCATAATAAAATCATCTTCATGCATGACAATGCACCATCTCATGCTGCAAAGAATACCTCTGCATCAATGGCTGCTATGGGGATTGTGACGAGACCAATCTTGCAACTGGGCATTGGAGGAGCCTGGTTGCCCACCTGCTGCCTTTAGACTATGGCCCCATGTTGAAACGCTTGATTTTCCCCTGCGAAGACACAAAAGCCGGGTCATTCGGTGCTGGCCCTGTTTGAGCGGTGATACCCCAGATAGCTATGCCATGGAGCCCATTCGTATGATGAAAGACTATGGGAAAGACTTTGGCTCCATGGCAATTGAACTGTATGTGTGTGCTCTGAGCGCCATTCAGTAATAATGTGCGCTCAGATCTGAGCTATCTGGGGATAAGTTGAATGTACCTGTTTTGTGCAATGGCTGCACAGTTATATATTTTTATGTGTTTTATTGTCTTTTGCTGCCATGTGTTCAATGGAGTTTTGCCTCTGTCCTTGGAGATAATTGGATTACTTCCCAATTTTCTCCAGGATAGAAACTCTGTGGACCTGGTTTTGGGCAGAAAAGCCATGCTTCATTTGGTCACAAAGGACTTCGATCTATCTTTTGAACCAATGGACCAATTAGGATGATTTTGACATATGTTTGTATTTGGAGTATGCTGATTCTGAAAATGTGAATGTGATGCATACTTTTCAAGTTATGAATAATGTGGAAAAACTGTATTTCTCTGCCGGTGATAATTACATTACCCATTGTGTAAGGTAATTGTATCACAGGCAGAGGGGAGGAATTTGTGTGGGAGTGTATGAGTGTATTGTATGTGTTTATTGGTCGTTTTCCAAAACCCTGTGGGTGGTACTAATGTGTATGTAAGAACAATAAACCCACAGCTCTGACTGTTCACTGCTTGACCCTCAAAACAGAGCCTTGTATCGTTCTTGGGGGGATTTATTGTATGCTGTTCCAGTTTGACTGCTGGGAGTGTAAACCTATTCGTATGGTTTTTCCTATTCGGCTGTTTACTGCATTCATATGGTTTCCTGTTCGGCGGATTGGTGTTCTGCAGTAGCTGTGCCTGTGTCTCTGGAAAGGAAGATCTACTAAACGTCAGTTTAACCCTTTTATGTCCGGGGTGCCGTTACAGGGATAACAGGAGAGAAAGTCATGGTGTAGCCTCGATCCTCCCCTGACTTCAATCCTATTGAGAACCTTTGGAGCATCCTCAAGCAAAAGGATGGGTGGGAGGCAGTTTACATCCAAACAGCAGCTCTGAGAGGTTATTCTGACATCTTGCAAACAAATTCAAGCAGAAACTGTCCAAAAACTCACAAGTTCAATGGATGCAAGACTTGTGAAGCTGCTATCAAATAAGGGGTCCTATGTTAAAATGTAACGTGACCTGTTAAAATGTTTAAAAAGTTAAAATGTTGTTATAAGTTTGATTGAAATAGCTTTTGATTTTAGTAAATATGCTACAAACACAACAAATGACAATTTTCAGTTCTTTACAACCTATAAAGTGTTTTGAAACTTACAGTGTGTAATAATTTGGAACAGTGCATTGTAAGTTTTTTTTTTATGTTTTAAAAAAAATACTGTTATCATTAGGTTTGTTCAATAAAATTTGAATTGTACTCTTAATAGTTGATAACATGAGAATTATGCTGACTTATTTACATCAATTATTTAGGTAAATGTGAAAAATATAATTTGCATAATAATTTGAAACAGGGTGTATAGTTTACTGCCATCAACTGCGCGGCGAGAACATCTCAGATGGGTGTACGCACGTTCTCAGGTCAGTGAAGGGGGTGGACACTGGACAGTTGACCAGATCCCCTGTAGTGTCCTTGGCTCTGAGTGACCATGACTGGATGGTAAACACGTCCCCACAAACATACGCCAGACCATTCCAATTTCTATACCTAACGAGTTCTTTCAATCACTGAATGATCAAATTTGTCTGGAAATCGGGACCGCCCAGAGTAAACCAGGAGCTCCTGTCTCTCCCTAAACGAATGGAAGGGGTGGGTCTCCCATCGATTCTCCTTTACTACAAGGCCACCCATCTGCTACGCATAGTGGATTGGCACAGAAGAAACCCCGACAAGCTATCGGGTGTGGGTCGGGGATTCCTGGTTTCAACACGGCCCGCACAGTGCATTGAGTTGAGCACCGAGCTTCTCGCTCTTGGACACGACCTGGTCAAGGGCAGGCTGTGGAGTAGTACCCAGAGCCTCTTGGAGTTCTCCCAGGACCCTGGATCCATCCCTTTCTGACTTTTAACTACTCATTCCCCCCCACCCACCTTTTTTTTTTCCTCTCCCCTCCTTCCTCCCCTGCAACAGCAGGCATAAGGATGTCCAGCGGGTTCTCCCCGGCGCACCTTTGCCTTTGGTCCAATAACGTCAGAGGCCTAAATATCCCAGAAAGGCGCTCCCATCTCTTGCACTCTCTGTGGTCGGCCAGGGCCTCGGTCGCCTTCATTCATAACGCTCCCGCTCTCCAGGATTCCCGTTTCCCCATGGGAATCTTTGCGAATCATCCAGTCGCAAAGAAGGCAGGGTGGCTATCCTAATTGCCAACACAACCCCCTTCCACTATCTGGCTGATTCGAGGGGCTATTAGATGTTTCTGAAAGGCACTATTGCTGGATGTCTCTTCACCTTGGCAAGTATCAACGCGCCTAACGTCAAATACCACAAGTTCTTGGCACGCACCCTGATTGCTCTGGAACGATTCAGAGATGGAATGCTTATTTTGGTGGAAGACCTTAACATAGCTCTGGACCCGCGCATGGATACATCCAGGGGGCTCCTGCTTACTACCAACCACTTACCGACACAAGGCTTTCACGGCAATTAGGAACTGAGGCATAGCAGATACTTGGAGAGTGGACCACAAAGAAGACAGAGATTTCTCGTTTTACTCAGTGTTGCACCCCCGCTTTAGTAGACTGGATTTTTATTTCTCAAGAATACCTTAGGCTTCTGAAATCTTGGTCATCATGGTCTGACCAATTGCCGATCTTGACCAGCATAGACTCCCCATCATATAAACCCGAAGGAAAGGAAGCTAAATAAACATATCCTCGAGGAGATGGAAGCGCCGAACATGGACCCGCTTCTCTTGTGGGAAGCACACAAATGTGTGATCTGGGGTCACTTCATTCGCTACTGCATCCAAAGGAAAGAAGCTCAGAGGCAACAA